GAAGTGGGACGTATATAGGCTGTAACTTTAACTTTTTTTATAACAAATCTTTACGTGAGTCACCACTGCCCTCAAATATCCTGAAGATAGCCAGCGTAATTCAAGAGTACCACGAATGAAACTGTATGAGGCTATATGATTGTATGGATATTTTGAATGAGGCCTACAATAACTGCCTATTAAAAAAATAAGCGAAAGTAGTAAGTAAGTAGGAAAGTTCCTCCCTGCCTATCCCACAAAGCAAAGGTAAGGCTATAGTATTAATGTACATATTTCTATCGTTTTCTTCATAAAATATTTATTTCGTACAGTTTACAATAACATTACAAAGTTATAATGCAGCTAATTTTAATATATATTTGCAAAAACCAATAATTTAAGCCTAAGACTTGAATTTGCACCCAAAATCGATGCCGCAACAGACGTTACCGAGAATTACAAAAAAAACTAACTTTCACTTTACGTATAGTATATCATTAACAAAATTATTAAAGTTAATCTTTACTTTTACCACTGGTACGGAACAAGTCCCGAAAAAGAAATAGTGAGAAACCCTTGAGGGATATTTTTTAAAATAAATTTTGAAAATGAAATATGCTTTACAACGAATTAAAAAAATAATAATTTCATAAGCAACTAGTGAACGATCACCTCATTCCCATTATCACTTTTTTTTTACATAATCTTCATCAACTTTTTATAAAGTCATTATTTGATTAAAGTTTACAATTGGTCGGTTAAACATTATTTTAATTTTTCTGCGTCTTTATTCTAAAGTTTACTTTGCACCGTGAATGAACTACTAACTCTGTGCTCTGTGGATTAAAAATCAAGTAACTGGTATTTAGTAAGCTATATTTTTTCGTGTTATTTTAATAAAACTTCTTTTATTCACTTACTTATACTATTATCACTTATTAATGTGTTGCGAGGCCGGTCCCGCCATACGCAAGTGTGAGCAAGCGCAAGTCTTATAGTTCCGACACTATTTCGATGATATCCAGAACGTCAGTCTGAGCGAGATCAGAATGGCTCTCCAACTTCTTAAAAACGACAAGTTCTTAAAAAAGACAATACAATGGAGCTCCTAAAAGTGGGTTGAGAACCGGTACTTGAAGTCCTTCAGAAACTCTTTAATTCCGTCTTCCATCACTACTCCGGAGGCGTGGAGCAGAAGTGCGGTGGTCTTATTCTTCAAGAAAGGTCATCGCTATTTTGAAGAACTACAGACCGATCTTGAGCAGTACGTGAACAGAGGACCGAAGGGTACAATCTGGTAATTTGTCTTGCGTATATGAACTATGAGAAAGCCATAGATTCCATCGAAATTCGGGCGGTGCTGCAGTCTCTTCAGCGGTGCCAAATGGACTGTCGGTATATCGAAGTATCTAAAAAGTTTGTACAGTAGGATTACGATGGCTATCCGAATATATAGAATATATTAGTAGATATCTAAATCACATCTTCCATCCCGGCTGAAAGCACTCCCCAAGTATACAATTTCATTTACCTGTTCTAGACATTCCTGATTTACCTATATTTCACATTTCGTTCTCTCTTCGTCCTTTTCAAATACCAGAACCTTAGTTTTATTAGCATTCAAACGGAGACCTTTAATAAATGCTTAAAACCTAAACCTTAAATTTTGAAACAGTAAAAAAAAATGTAATTTTAAGTGCTCAGGAGTGAAGAAGAACATCGCGAGGAAATGTGTAAATGTCAGAAATTAGAAATATATTTAAGAAATGTGAAATCTACCAACATTGGGGCAGTGCGGTGAATATGTAATGAGATGCCTGTGGCCAGTGGGACATGCATAGGCTATCACATAACTTTTACTTTTTAGCTTTAATTTTAATCATAATTTATAATCGCTTATGCGATAGCATTGGCAAATATGCAGTGAAAGTTATAATATACACATTATAATATAAAATACCATTACTATTCACATATAAAACCAATAATTTTCTGCGCTAGGCTAGGGGCTATCGTCATATATGTGTGTAGGTATATCCATAACACCTGTCCTAGAGACCAGAGCACATCCAATACAAGCTACTATAATATAGTTCGTGAGTCCTGTTCGTGAGTGAGCATTAATGTAGTTTGCCCAGAGTCAGGAAGTTGGCGGTGTCTCACCTCCGTGCCTCGAAAATCACGTAAAGCCGTTCGTCCTGCACCTGATCGCTCTCCGGTCGTGCCAGTTTACCATCCTATCGGTCTATAAGAGTGCAGGAATAAAGAGTGCACTTGTGCTTACGCATACACTCAGGCTCTATAATCCTGTCCTGCACCGATCTCTAATCTCCGATGAAACTGGTCGCCGTAACTGACATTCGGTCTGTATGACATTATTATTATCATAATATCTATTGCACATTTAACTTCCTTCTGTTTCTTCTTTATTAGGTCATAGAAGGTTACTCCCGGTAAATCCAATTCCACCGGAAGCCAATCGACGGATCCAACTCAGCTGACCAGCATTCGGAAGATTACAATTAAACTTGAAAACAAGAGTGTACAACCAGTGTTGGGAGTGATGAAATATGAATATGAGACGTGAAAGAAAGAAAGCGTTATTTACATCACAATAAAAAAATAACACGAGATAAAAAATAAATTACAATAAAATTTGTGTGAAGTCAAATTAGGTCCCTATTTCGGCTAACAGCTGCTGTACTAAATGACAGATTAACTTTACGAACGGACATTTCTTACCTAAAGCGTACATAAAAAAAAACGTTCAGAGAAACGAGTTGGGAAGAAATCAGAGGAGACGTAATATTTACTGCTGGCTGTATGAGGAAGCTCAAAGTAGCTAATCGAGCTATGGATAGTGCTTTGGTTGGAATATATCTGCATGATGATAGACTTCGCAATGAGCATATACACAGTACAACCGTAGTAACTATCATTACCCATCGCAGAAAAAAAAGTCAATCAATCATAGGTACCTCTAAGGTAAGAGATGTAGGAAATCGATGGCTGTAAGTGGCACAGAACCGTGCTATGATATAATTCTTTGGAGGAATAACACCACCAGAGGTTGTGTGCTTTGACAAATATTGTCCGAATTAGGGCAGTATATTTATAACTAAGTAGTAACTAAATTTCGACTTTAAGAAAACCAACAATGCTTTTAAATATATATTATCGTGGTAATATGTAATAAGTGGTAGAGCCATGTTACAGTTATATTAGTAGTATAGTTGTAGAACGAATGGGTCGGCTCGACCGGGGAAGGAACACGCTCTCACAGAATACAACAGCGTAAAATAGTAGCTTAACGCAGCAGCGTTATTATCTCAAAACATGAAACAATTTTATTGAAGCTGATACATATATATGTAGCGTAGCTAGTACGTAGATAACAACTAGCAACCATCAAATTTAAATAATGAAAACCTCTTGATTCGACACATAAGATAACGTATGACATTTCTAATAAGTACAACATTTTGTATACGTAATGTACGTAACAAAAGCACGTACGTAACAAAAGAGGATCTTTAGCAAAATAAAATAAGTATAAAACAGCAGTGTTTCGTGTGTTGAGTGTAGAGAACCGGAGACCCTTTTCACTGGGAACGAGGCATTCCACCTTAGTCCTCACGGGTGACATTTCGATTCGTAATCGAGGAGAGATGTAGATGTCTATGGGCCACAGCAACCACTTACCGTCAGGTGGACTGTGTGCTCATTTGTCACCCTATCCTATAAAAAAACTACTAACACTCTCGTCAACCTCTTCAACTAAGCATTTCTTTAACTAATATATATCATAAAATATTGCATTCAATTGCGTGCTTACACGGTAGGTAACCCGTGACAGAGCCTTGCTGTAGCTATAATATAAATGCAGCAAGAATTGGTCGGTTCGACCTGGAATGCACCACGTCGGCGCAAAATATCAGCTATAAGACGTATTATCCACTTACTATCTACTGTCAGATTACATATATATAATATGTATATGCTCTTTTTGTCACGACCGCTTGTAGAAAAATCAACGCTCGTTTGAAGTTATGCCGCTATGTATGCATAAAGAAATGTATCTAATCACTACTCCTTTATAAAATATTAATGAGCCATCGTATACACTAAGCGATTGCACCATTAAATTCATCCGTTCGAACATCTCACGAACGTTATAAAGAGACAGCTGTTTCAAATGATTAATTAACAGAAAAACTGTTGCGTTTTAAAGTTTAATTATTGAGTCTCCGACTCAAATTAGCTAGAGCCGCAGTAAGAAAGCGAAACACACGCAATGCACTATTGTACAATAATTATCAAATCATTTACAAATTATAATTTAATTTTACTATCACTATTAAATTTAAAGTATTTTAGCTCCGTGTATTGGGAGAAAAAACTCCTATACTATTTCGTCACATTGATAAGGTAAAATTCTTTTTTTAATAAGAATATAAAACTTGCTTTTAGTTATTCCAAAATCATGTGTATGGATTATTAATAAATATACAAATTTTAATTTACATGTATTTATTTCATTAAAATTTATCCCAAAAATAATCAAAAACTTAATAAATACTTAAAAAATATTTACAAATTAGGTGTTAATACAAAAATGGATGTTTCTATGCCATTGTATCACTTATGGTATGAAGAGTTGAAACAAAGCTATTTACATTCAACAAAGCATACTTAAAACTATTTAAAGCGTACCTAAAACTATTTATTATAAAGTAAATGCCATTTTTATCTCAAAACATGAAACAATTTTATTGAAGCTGATACATAGTATGTAGCATAGCTAGTACGTAGATAAACTAAACTAGCAACCATCAAATTTAAATAATGAAAACCTCTTGATTCGACACATAAGTTAACGTATGACATTTCTAATAAGTACAACATTTCGTATACGTAATGTACGTAATAAGAGTACGTACGTAACAAAAGACAAACTTTAGCAAAAATAAAATAAGTATCAGATTTACGTGAGAAGGAAGTCGAAACATTAATGCCACTGCTTATTTTAAATCTTTATTAGATATTATATCTTCAAACGAAGATTTACCATGCTTTATGCCTCGGGATAGCTTAAATTTATTTACACGTTGCTTACGATTGCCTTGTTCAATTCCATTACGAATTATACCTTTAAATGTTTGAATAGGAGGTGGTTTTAATAAAGGATATGGCTCTTCTATTACAACTTTTGGCATTCTTCTTTGATGGGAAAGACGGCTTAACATAAACAAATGCCTGTGCCTGTCATTAGTACTTTTGGAATTTGGATGTATTTTAGGTTCGTTTTCATCAGTTTCAATAGAAAACTGGTCATTGCCTGAATCTATCACATCAGTGTCACTAATTTCTTTATCTTCATTTTCGAAGTCATCTTGTTCAATAACAGCACCAATAGGATGATTATGAGATGAAACAGTAATAGGTTCAATACTATCTTCTTCCTCTTGGCTTCTTGAATATTTTGCGCCCGGATAAAGATAGCGGTCACTATTACGTATTTCAAAATAGGGACTATTTAAACCACTGATTCTATCATTCAGAAGAGCTAAACTACCTATATTATCATTCTTTAACATAAGTTGTTGTAGTTGTGATGCGTCCCACCTAAAAGGATTTGGTTGACTAAACTGATTACGAAGAGGTGTATTTATGTCGTCTGATGTTGTTCTTCCCTTTAAAATTTCTGACAATAGTTTAAGATCAAGATTGTACGGATTAGTTATTTTAAACCCATTTAATGATGGTAGTAAATTTGCTATTTGGGCGTCATAATCAGGTTTAGAAATAATTTCAACTGGTTTATTGCGCATGAGTTTGTTTAGAATACTTGCAGTTACATCTATTTGGTGGGAATTAACATTTTGATTGAGTACAATAGGTGTAGGTGTAGAAAGAATTCCGTGATTGAAATGGTTTTGTGGTTGAAAGTTGCCTGTACTCGAACCTTGTGTTAGCCAGTACGGAATATCATTAATCTTTAAACTGCTAATATTCTCAGAATTTCCTTGATTTTGAATAGCCTGTTGTTGTAAGTTGTTTTTAAATTGTACGTTATCTAAACTTGTTTGAGTTAAGTAATTAAAATGAGGCATGTTTCCCTCTATATGTTGCTTATGAGGTGGATTATTTAAGTTATACAAAAGCTCTGATTGTTTAGGATTATCATAACTATGTTCTAACTGATATAAACTATCACTTTGTGAAACTTCTCCAGGTTTTGATCGGTAATTAAAACTGTTAATTATGTTTTTATTTTCGTAACTAGGTTCAGTGACGGGATTAATACTGTGCCTAAAGTTTTGCTCATTAATATCTTTATTAAAGTAGGTTGAATTATATCCTTTGTTAAATTCAAAACCTGCATTAATTTTCATTTGCATCTCAGGAATGGGATTTTGATTTAAGGTATCATTCATTATTTGATTTTGAATTGCATTATTTTGTTCAAATGGCTGTTTAATTTTACTATCCAACGTACTTTCTCTAATATTAGAATAATAATAGGGAGATACCGATATCAATTCCGGCTGCACATTAAAACGGGTGTTTGAATTCTCGTATGAAGTACCTTTTTGATTATTATTACTTCCATAAACAAAGTTACCTATTTCCTTGTTTGATAAAACATTTTGCTCATGCTGTGTACGAGATGGTAAACTATTTAAGATATCTTGTTGTTGTTTCTTCATATTTTCATGTGCTTTTGCAGCTGCTTTTACAAATTCTTGTGTGTCTTCTATCTTTCCTGGATTCATTACAGAAGCTTGATCATTATTATATGTTTTACCATTATCAACATAATGATTAGTACGATTTAAAGAATTGCTACCTACTGGATAATAGTTGCTGTGAAGTATTGAATGATTTGATGAAAAAGAATGATATTTTATTGATGGTTTTTTACCGTCAAGTTTCCATCCATAATCACCATGAGAGTATATTTCGCCTTGTCTATTTTGTTGCTCAATATCTTTAACATTATTTCTATTATTGGCAAGAGTTTGGTAGTCTGGTTGTGCATAACTTAAAAATAAATTATTTGCTGATGGAATACTGCCAATACGATAAGTGTCACTATTTTGGTAATCTTGTTTAGACCCTTGTTGGGTCTCTTGTTGTTTATTTTGAAAATTTTGTTGATTTGTTTGCGAGAATTCTTGAATTGAATGCGGGAAATTGTTTAAACCATAATTTCTAGAATTTTGCCAGGAACCGTAACTAGAATCAGGATTAGCAGAAGATGCTGGAACAGGGGTCGAAGGCGGGAATTCATTTTGATACTGTTGCTGCATATGAATTGGATGTTGAACTCCATTCCCCGAGTTATCATAATAATTAACTTGCATATTTGATGTTTTTTGGTTTATTCCATTATTTAATGTATTATTTTCAACTGTTGACGATTGCCTATTGATATGGTTTAATAAGTCATGATAGCTTGGTAATCCTGTTTGTGTGTTTGCGAATGTTGAAGATATATGTGACCGCAAAGTCGTTGGACTAGACAGATAAATGGGCGAAGAACTTGAAACATAATTACTAGATGTTGTTCCAGCATATTGATTGTTTGGTGAACTAGTGGAAACATACAAAATTAGCGAAGAAGGAGTGCTTTGAATGGCATCTATCCCGAAAGAATATGCATTATTATTAAACTGATAAGTATTCCCATCAGGATTATATACTTGGGGAGAATTTTTCGACATAATTATTGGTATTGGGGTATATTGTGAATTTCCGTTGTCATAATATGATGGTGTTATTGAAGAGTACTGATACAGAGGTTGAGGAGTAGCTGTATATTCAAATGTTGGAATTGGCGTAGATACTTGCTGCTGCTGTTGATGGTATTGGTTTTGTGCTCGCATCTGTTGTAGGAATTGCTCAGGTGGTAAAGAGTACTGCATCATAGCATACTGATTACTAGCACCAGTTTCGCTGTCTAGTGTTGAGTTTTGTTGCTTGGTAATAACTTCTTCCTCCTGTTGTTGAAAAGGATTCTTTATTCGATAGATCTTCCTGGATTTTCCTCGTTCCGCCCGCTTGTAATCAGAATTTTGGTTCGCGTCATCAATCGCTTGGTATTGCGCATTCAAAGTACTAATTGAATCACTATCAGGACCATTTTGTACAAAACTAGTACTATAACTGTTAGTTGCTTCAACCAGTTTCTCATTAGGTGTTATATGATGCATGCGGATATTATTTTGATCAGCATATCCATTTTGACAGCGGATGTTCCCAATAACCAAAAGAGCAACTAGTATCTGCATCTGAAATGGAAACACATGTGATTGTTATTCCGAAACAATTAAAGAATTTTATAGAAAAAATTTTGGTAAGATGCAAAAACATAAGACAAACTTAATTTTTAATATACTAAATTTTATTTATATTATGATATTATAATTTCAAAATATTTTTTAAATTTTTTTCTTTAGATTTTAATTTGTGTATCTTAGTTTTCTTTTCCTTTTTTTTCATATTATTTTTATTTAATTTGCCATGTAAACAGCCAACCGGTAGGATAGTGTATGTGAGTGTTGGGGATCTTTTGTTAAACTATTTTAGGATATTTTGTTTAGTTTATTTTTTACTTATTTATATATTTATGTTAATATATTTAATTATTGTAGTATACGTCTGATGCTGAATCTTTTTATTTAATTTATGATTCAGAACTTTCTTTTTCGTTTTGCATTCTATGAATGGTAGCTTGATGTCTTTAAATTCTCTAATAAATATTTTTATAACTACTGACATTTGTTGAATATTTGTCATATAAAAGCCCAAAGTATCCCGAGTCGTTTTTCTGAGCTAGAATCTTCATTCTCTTCTAAGCGCGTACATGCAATCCCAGTGTCAGAGAGTTGGCTAAGGCCTCTTTTGCCCTCTACCTTATTTTTATTACCTGACTTCATTCTTATTAGAAATGATTGAATTAATAAAAGATGTGGTGGTGTTGCCATATATTTGCACAAGTCAATTACCTACAAAATAATTTTGATATCTTCACCTACCTACTCTGGATCCTCAGAGTTCCTGTTTATTGAAATAAATATCAAGGGTAAAAGGATGATCCTTGGAGTTGTGTATTGCTCCCCCCCCCTGCTATCGATTACTTTCCATCTATTGAAATGGCTTTAGAAAATTTTGGTTCTGAGTACGAACACTGTATAATCATGGGTGATTTCAATAATTATATACTCAAGGTTTCTTCTCAGTCCCGAAATCTTCTTTCAATAATTGCGTCTGTCAACCTTCACATTCTTCTCATACTCATCACAATATAGACTGTGATGACTCACTGATTGATCTTATTATTACTGCTTCTTCTGATCATGTAATTAATCAAAGTCAACTTCCCGCTCCGGGTTTCTCACGACATGACATAATATACGCTTCTTATAAGCTTAGTCCTCCCAAAACTACTTGTAATATTTTGCAATTAAGTAATTTCAATAGATTAAACCCGGATAATCTCAGGAAAGACGCTTCTAATTTAAATTTTGATCGTTTAAGGAACGCATCTACAATTGATGAAAAGATATCTTAGCTTAATAATACAATTAATTCTCAGCCTGTATAATGCTCACGCTCCGATTCACAAACTTAGATTAAACCGTGCACCTGCTCCTTGGATGACAGAGAGTATTTGGGTGGCAATGACTTGTCAGAATCTGGCTTTTCTTCGTTTTAGAAGAGAATGAACGGAGGAAAAGTGATTAGCCTTTAAGTTATGTAGGAATCGATGTAATCAGATGGTACGTAACGCTAAACGCTGTTTTATCCATAAAAGTAATTGTAACTCTTCGCCAGCCAATGTTTGGAAATTTCTAAAACCTTTTGGTGTGTAAGGTACCTACCCAGGATTGCGGTCCTTCTCTTTCTATCAATGACTTGAATCTGCATTTTGTTTCTACAACAGCAACGGACCCTGCAATTCGTTCTCAAACAGTAGCTTATTTGGCTTCAATCCAATCTTCTCACACCTCAGTTTTTAATTTCTCACCGGCTTATCAGGATAAGGTTAGAAAGGCTGTGCTGACTATAAAATTCAGGGCCGTGGGTTATGATGAAATCAGTAGAGATATGATAGTGAACATCTTAGAGTATCTGCTACCGGCTGTAACGCATATTATAATTTTTTCTCTAGACTCTGGACATACTGTCGAACTGACCAACCCCATGGAAAAAGGGCTATGTACGTCCCCTTCCTAAAGTTTCAAACCCCTTACTCCTAACCATTTCCATCCAATATCTATCTTGCCCTTTCTTTCAAAAGTTTTAGAGGCCTGTTTATATAAACAAATCTCCAATTTTATATCAAAAAATAACATCCTGAGTGCTTATCAGTCTCGTTTTCGCTCTGGTCACTGCACCACCACTGCTTTGATAAAAGTTACTGAGGATATAAAACACGGAATGGATACCAAAAAAGTAACAGTAATGGTGTTAGTTAGTAGACTTTTCCATTTTTTTTAACACAGTCGACCACGATATACTCCTATGTATCCTCTCCCATCTTAAATTTGCACCCTCGGTCTTGGAATGGTTTTCCTCTTATTTTCGCGATCGCCAGCAATAAGTCCACGTAGGGGAGGAGACTTCCCAGTGGTTAAGTCTTGATTCTGGTGTGCAGCAAGGCGGAATTCTGTGTCCCATATTATTTTCAGTTTTCATTAACTAGATATCCTCCGTCTTTGATTGTTCGTACCATCTATACGCAGACGATCTCCAAATATATGTGTAATCGGATATCGATAATCTACAAGATGTTATCACTAAACTAAACTATAATTTGAAAGCCATTTATGACTGATCATCGCGTTTTGATGTTTCAGACAATCCAACTAAATGTCAAGCAATGCTTGTGGGTAGCTCAAGAATGCTGGCAAAAATTGACGTCAGAATTTGATCCGGTTCTCTGACTGGGTAAAAAACCTGGGTGTATACATGGATAAGACGTTGAACTGGGATAAACAAGTCACTGAGGTCAGCCGTAAAGTCACTGCCACCTTAAGATCGCTCTACCGTCTGAAAAACTTTCTCCCTTACAAAACTAAGCATATGCTTGTCCAAACACTTATCTTGCCTGTCATTGATTACGCAGATGTTTGTTACTAAGACTTGAACCAAAATCTTCTCAATAAGCTTGAGCGCCTTCTTAATAACTGCATCAGGTTTATTTTCGGCCTTCCAAAATATGACCATATCTCTCAATTTCGTATTCGCCTTAAATGGCTACCTATCCGAGAAAGACAACTTCCAGAATATTGTCTGTTCTCTAATCCATTTTAAATTATTTGTCATCCCCTTCCTACGAAAGAAAAATTTCAATATCTCTCCTTCAACCACGACAAGGTACTTCGTTCTTCAACTAATCTGAAGATTTCAGTTCCATTCCATTTCACTGGCTTTATCGGAAATTCTTTTACTGTTCGGGCTACACTACTCTGGAACTCCTTACCTGATGATATTAGGAAAGCACCAAATAAGATAGCCTTCAAAAGATTGATCCGGGAACATCACTTGAAAACAATGTCGTCAACATAATGCGAATATTGCTACCTATATCCAGACATATTATGTATTTATGTATGTATGTGTATGTATACGTAGCCGTGTGTGCCGTGGTAGCTCAATGGTTAACGCTCGCTGTAAATATAACAGAACGCGAGTAACCCGGGTTCGACCCCCGCCGGCACCAATGAAATTGTTAATTGCAATTTTAAGTGCTGATTTACCACGTGCTCGGCGGTGAAGGAAAACATCGTGAGGAAACCTACATGTCTGAGGAATAAGAAAAAAAAATATTTAGAAGACATGTGAAGTTTGTCAACACGCATTTGGGCAGCGCGGCGGACACTTCCTTGCCCTAAACCCTCTCAGAAATGAGGGGAGGCCTGAGCCCAGCAGTGGGACGTATATATGCTGTAACTTTACTTTACTTTTATATGTATGTAGGTTTTAAGGATAATTGTTATATATGGATTGTTATGTATTTGTTAGTATACATATGTATTAGTGTAAATTACAAGCCTTATTTTAATTTGTGCTATATCTGTACAAATTTATTATATTTGGATATTTAAGTTACCTGCAACTAATTTCTCAATAAGTCATGGGTTTACTGGCAGAGAATGCTAACTGGCATTAAGTCAGCCCTTTGTAACCTTTATGGTTAGAACAATAAAGATTTTAAATAAATCAATAAAAAAATTTAACTGAATTATTTATTTGCGCGTCTTGAACTGTTATAGATTTAGCTATATTTAATGCGATGTTGTGACGTAGTAAAAATATCCACTACCCCATATCGTCCCGTGGGTGTCGTTAGAAGCGACAGGAGGAAAAGAATCAAGATATGTGCAGCAGAGTCTTCCTAAAAACGACGCCACCAAGCGTGGCAAATATGGCTAATATCCCCTTAAGAGGTATATAGCTGGCAGAGCCAGACTGCAGATATATTGGTATAGCACGAATGGGTCGGCTCGACCGGGGCAGGACCACGCTCTCACAGAATACCAGCGAAAATAGCAGCTTAATGCTACTGTGTTTCGTATGGTGAGTGTAAAGAACCGCAGACCCGTTTTCTATTCATAATGATAATAAGATGGTATCAAATAACTGATGAATGAACTGAATTAATAATTACAGGCTGTGACGTATTCCATTAGGCATCCCTCAGAGGTGACTACGCACCTGTAGCCTACTTTTTTTGAAGTTGCTTGCAGGTTTTCATGAGCTGCAAAAGCACTAACCATTAAGTGGAATGTAGGTTTGTTAGTCACCTCAGTTTTATAAAAAATAATGTACACGTTAAATTAGATGGGTGGGTTGATATATTTTCGTCTTCTTTTTCTTAGTATCCTCTTTAAAAATCCATTACTAAATACAGAAATAGATAGATAGAAATATTTGAAATATTAGCTTTATTTATTCCATATCTTAATATATATAAATTACGTGTCACGTTGTTTGTCCGCGGTGGACTCCTAAACTACTTAGCAGATTTTAATCAAATTTGCACACCGTGTGCAGTTTGGTCCAACTTGAGAGATAGGATAGTTTTTTTGCCCATGAGTGACCCACAATTTTTTTTGCTAATTTGCGTATTTTTAATAGGACATGACAAAGTATCGTCGAAAAGGGTAGAACAACGTCTTCCTAGCAAGCTAGTAATATATAGATATTTAATATATGAAAAATTAAATTCGATTAATTTTAAAAAAGAACCGTGGTAGCTTAGTGGTATAGCGCTGACTCTATA